AGGCAGTGCAGAGATGCACAGGAATTCCCTCTACCTGATGGAGAAATTTGTTTAATCTCCAAAGGTGGTCTGCTTACCAGAAAAAGATTTCTCACTAAAACCTTTTCTCCTGTCTCCCGTGCCTCATCCCGCCCATCATGGGGCTGGAGAGCATGCATGCATGCACACAGGTACTGAACCACCATCACACTAGGGTCTATGCCATACTGAACCATCACGGACTCTCTAGCTCTTTGGAAAGGCTGTTTATCAAAGCACTCTGAATGTCAATTAAAAATTGCAGCCTTTCCTCTTGATGCCCCAAAAGTTCTTGAAAAGGAGACAATAGAATGAAAGCAGAGGTTGGTCTGAAGGTTTGATCTGGGGACTTGAGGAGATAAATAGCATTATTTTCTGGAATAGAATCACAGACAGGATAAACCATTTGGGCAAGATCAATACCATACGCACTTTGATATAAATTGATTGAAAAGCTCAGCTTTCAACATGGCAGATAAGTTTTAACCCTGAGATGGAGTAGGAATCTTACTATTAGTAAGGCAAATCCTTGCTGCTAGATGGTCCACATTCCTGAATAAGCCTTCCTTATTGACAGGCCCAGAGCATCTGGTTGTGTTTCACAGTTTTTGAAAAACGTAGAAATTAATCTTTGGAAAAAAAGTGCTAAACTCACTCATGAAGCAATGATTTCATTTGTGCAGAAGCAAAGTATCAGCTGAGGTGGAAAATATATCATGAAGGACCTGTACAAATGACTGAATGTGCCTTTTCCAGAAATTGTCAAGTGCGTTCCTGTTGCCTAATAAATAGGATAGAGCTCTTTAAGTCAGGGAACCCTTCAAACCTAATCTTTCAGTTCCAGACAAATTGAAGCACATATGAGTGATGTCTGTCACAGTAAGATACTGTTGCACAGCACTGTTGTGCTTGCAGAGTTGTATGATTTGCACAGTTGTGTTCATGTTCTGTTCAAAACTTAGTTGTGTTTTAGCAACGCTGCATTGTAGCCCTTTCCTGGTCAGCTCCTTAAGCCTTGTCATGAGTGCAGTTTTACATGCTCACTGCAGTTTTACACCTTCATTTCCTGCTGCTAATACCAACAATTTTCAAAAATAGGTGGTACCACGTGATTGTAAGTAATACTTTTAAAGGAGAGAGATCTAGTTTCTTTGCTTGGCATGTTTGCTACTGCAAACCCGTTGGAAAACCTCAAATAGGATTTACATCTTCTGATGCTTTTAGCTTCAAAGGGGACCTCATCAAATTGCTGATCTCAACTGCTTATTTTCAAAATCAGGGAAAATATAGTTATGTTTTCCAAGGTCTGGAAATATGAAAAAAAATATGAAATATTCATAAAGAAATATGAAAAGGTTATTTATAAAATTACAGGAAAAACAGGAGAAGAAGAAAAAGGCCACCATGCAACAAAGTTGCAGTCAAGGAAACAGCACTATGACTCAGAGCTAAATTAATGCCTTTCTTCAATTATGGAAGTTATGATGAGCAGAGGAACAAAAAAAAAAAAAAGGCAATAGCTAGAAAATACTTACATGGACGAATTAAATTAAAACTTAGTGCAATTAATATGCTTAAGTTAAAACAATGTAAATTATTCCTCAAAGAGTGAAATAATGGCAAATGAAACCATGTATTTGATAAATAATTAAAATTTAAAAAACTCATACAAGTCAGGGACTGTACTCTCAGACTGAAAAAAAAACAAACCCCGGATATTTTGTTTAAGGAAAAAAATATTTTATATATGCTTTTACCATTATACAGGACTTTAGAATGACACTTGAAAGAAAGAATAGTTAATGGCTTGGGAGAAAATGAGCTGGAAAGCAACACAAGCTTGCCTAAACAGATCCAGTGTAACCTGACATTATTACTGATAACCAGAGTTCCAGACTTAAACAGAATGCCTACTCTTTTTGGACTGCTGTATAGTGTTTTAAGGCCTCATGGGAAATCACTAGCAAAGATAAAAAATTTAGGAGTTGGTATAAAATAAATTTGAAGCAACCACAGAAATAATTAATTGGAGTAATGACTCTAGTGGCAGGAGACGTCACAGGTTACAGGGTGGTTGCTCATAGAGAGGGACGGTTTTTGTAAGATACATCTAAAAATATTTTAGTTTTTAATTTGATTGAATTAAATATTTAAATTTACAATATTAGAAGGAAAAAAAGAAAGATAGATGCGTACTAACAAAATTTTCTCATCATAGAACCTGAAAACCATTGCAAACATAAAGGTAGAACTGGAATATTTTGGGACCTTATGAAATGAAGTAATAAAAAAGGGAAATATATAATTATATAAAGTGCAGTTATCCATTTAAGGACCAATGAGAAGAGCATCTGCTATACCACAGCACTTTACAGGTTTGAAATTAAGGAAAAAGGAAACTGCAATGCTTGGAATTCAATTTTTGAATGTTTTTGAGTTATCATTGTGATGTGACATGGAAATGGTAAATACAGTTCTTAGGCATTTTGGAGAGGCCTTTCTGTAAAGAAAATAGAGTCTTGAAGATGTTCAAAGCACTGATCAGACCTCTGGAAGATTGTCTAAAATTCTGCCCACCTCCCTTCAAAAGGTATCAGTTTCAAAATAGAATTGATTAAGAAAGTGTCCACTAAAATAAAAAGAGAATGGAAAGTCCATCCCTTGGGGCAACTCTAAAAGAATATTGCTTGTTTGTCATAGAAAACAAAAAACTGAGAGTGGAGATGATTTATTTCTGTGCACTGAGGGAAAAGCACTAGAAAGGAAAGATCTTTTGAAGCTTAAAGGGCAGCACTGACTTAAAAGAAAATATATATAAACAGGCCATGAGTAAAGTTACTCTGTAAATGTAGAGACCCCTCAGAAAATTGAAAGGGTGCAAATATGCCTGGGAAATCATATCTGAAGAGAAAATGCCAGTGATTCACCAAGAAATTGAAAGGATTTACCCAGTGCAGTTTAAATTAAGATTATATGATTTAATTGTCTGTGATCACACAGGAGTGTAGACAGTGACCCAAGAAGTCTTTTATTCCTGTGTTTCTCATTACTCATGTGATATAAATTAGTATGAAACCCCTTGAGCTTTTCTGTGCTAATTAACTGTGCTCCAATGTTACACATTTTTCAGCAAACCAGCACTGCATTTTAGGTAATTACATTTACCAAATCTTGCTGCAATGAGTACCGGCAGCTGGGAATCTTTCCTTGTGACATTGCTCCTATACTCTAGACTGTAAAAACACTTCTGAAAAGCCATGTTTCTCCAATATACATGAGTTTTTTAAGGAGAACATAAGCACATATTCAGGGAGGCTGACCTCTCTAGAAATAATCATACTTTAATATCAATGTGGGTGATAAATGCTAAAAATATTATTCTAAAAACTTTCATTGTATATATAATGTAATTACTTTTGGTCTCATATTTATTATGAACTGCATAAATGTCTTTTTATAAGCATTGTTACATTTGCTTCACAATGTTGCTTCTAATTTTGTTACAGAGTTGTTTTTATTCATTATACTTGCCAAGAAAAACATTTTGAAATAATGTCACTTTTTATTTTCAAAAATACCAAATTTTCTTTCAAGCAGAGAGAAAGCTGGCTGCAGTCATATAAAGTACAAAAGGCAGCTAACACTCAAACCAAGTAAAAGAGGTTTTAATTTTGCTTCTTTTCAAAATCTGGCCATAGGGCACAGGGGTGCACCTGGTCACTGCATTTCACAAGAGGAAGCTGGTCAGAAAATGCTCTTATTCTGCCTCTCAGAGCAGGGAGATCAATATTTCCATTTAATGCAAACTTATGGGTTCAAGGTTTTAGAGCCCAGAGCTGAAGCTGCTGTTTCATTGTGGCATTAGAAACTGGAAGCATAACAAATAATTTTTTCACACATACAGAGTTATAGTCGTGATATTCTCTTTCTATCCCCATTTCAGGCAAAGACAAGAAAGAGAGAGACAGAGCTGAGTGCCTGCTTTCTGCAGTGGACAACACATTCTGATCCACAAATATGCTAGGTAGACAGTGCTTCATCCCATTAATTTTATTTTCTGTTTTGGGACTGTGACTGCTCTCTTCTATTTCAAGTTCACTCAGAGTACTCAGTTCTGCATGTTACTTCAGCATAAATGATGAACATTAAATTAAATCCCAGGCTGTGTATGTATGTACTTCACTGCACAGCACCAGGAAGGATGCAGCACTGAACACGACAAGTGTGCAAGGCACCAAACGGAATCACTGTGTGATTTTCTGGCATGCATACCTGACAGTGGTCTGCTGTGTAAGTGTTGATGAAATGGCTAATTTGACACGTGGAAAAGTAAAATCACATTATAAGCATACAACTCTGAGAGATGAGCTTGCTCAGACAAGAAAAATGCCTGCTGTTTTTCTAGAATGCTCTGATTAAATTGCTAAGACTGAAAATGTGCATATTAAGAACTTTATGGTTCCCTCCAAATGCCTGGCTCAGTGAAAGAAGGGCCTGAGCAAAACAGTGTAACTGCAGTTTTTAAAAAAATCTGCTTTTATAAACAGGGAAAAATCACAACACTTTTCATTGGAAAGGCAGACTGGCAGCTGTAAGAAGCCAGATCTTGCCAGCTTTACTAATGTTAACAGTGCCATTAAAATCAGTGTAACTAATTGTGTGAGAAGGACAATCAAGATCTGACCCCATACCCCTGCTTTGTAAACTTCACAATCACAGAGATTAATATAATACTGACTAGCCAATGACATGTTAAAGCCTTAATTAAATTAATTTGTTTGGAAGGCTTTTCCTTTAAAATCTAAAACAAATGGTTCAAGTGAAATGTGAGATGTAGGGGATATAGAGAAAATCAATAAACCAGCAGAATGGATGTGGAAATAACTTCTTTATGTTTTCCTGGTTTTGTAGCTTATAGTTAGCACCAGTGCATAAATGTAACAGCTACGTGCAAGGGAAGAAATCTAAATCCAAACATAGAGAGTGGTTGTGATTACCATCTCTTTGATGAATCCTCCATTCTTCTATGATACTACTCATTAAAAATGCTACTATGTGAATATCAGTTAGCAAGTGTTTTGGGATTTTATTGTTCATTTTCTTGTTTTCTACATTATCTTTATATTTCTCATTTCATTACTAACAATTTTCCAAAAATAGAGTCCACTAATCCTCCTGAATTTTCATCCAATATTTCTTTTTGTAGGGATGAGAGGTATTTTTAAAATATATACTGAAAATCATTTAAATATCAGGTTATTTGGGTTTCCTATAAGGACTTTATGGTGCCTTGAATTTTTATGATATAGCATGCTTTAAAGTGTCATTCTGCAATCTTCATAATACTGGTGTATAATAAGGAAATTCAGGTCTACCTTAAAAGCATTAACTGATTAGGGATGCATTTTTAGTCATGACTTCATAAACCTATGTGAACCTATGCAGGGTGTCTGTACATTTAAATGCCATGGGAGCGTGGTACTTAAGAGAATTTCAGAGATCATTCCAGTATGGGGCTACTGATAAATGACTGCATAAAACTGTGCTAGGGCCAGTGAGTTTGGGCCATTCCTCATAATTTCAGAATAGAAAACAGCAATTGGGTAATGCACAAGCAAGACAAGTGTATACATCTTGGTGCAGACTACAAATGTCTCCTCTCATCCATAGTTTTCTTGATTTTCATCTGTAAACAAAGAGACTCTATGTACATCATATGGGTGCACAGAGCTCTGAGAAGTAAGTGAAGAGGAAGGAAAGTGTTTGATTGGGGGAAGTGGGGATTGGACGAAAAACAAATCCATCATACATCCTCCTCAACTGTAAATTGAGGTTGAATGGTCTAGATCTCTCACAGCTTCCTTCTAGCCTCTGGCAGAAAAAAATCGATCTGAGTCTGAAGGCATAGGAAGACTTCATAGGAAGTCTTTGGAAGTTGTCATGCAAGTGCAGTGCAAAATTATGTATGTAATGCAAAAGTATGAATGTACTGATGCAGAAAAAATGTTGATGAAAAATAAGCAATACTGCCAGGCCTGTTTACTGAACTACAATTAACAGTGAGGATGCTGGAGAGCAGGGGCATGGCTATCTGTAGGATCAAAAAATGTGTGTGATAGTAAAATGTAGTCAGTAGGGTTGTCGTGGGGAGAATATTCTTCAGTTTGGCAACAGCTTATCCTCGTTTGCTTATTTCTAATCACATGGGAAAATGTTTCAGCCACAGCTACAGCATGGATCTTTGCAGTCTCCATTTTTCAAAATTTCTGTGGGAAATCTCCAGAGTGAGGCTTTGGTGTGGCCTGGAAGGATCATAACCTGGCACAGGGAGATTAGGCAGTCAGCAAACCTGAGAAGGGACTCTACATTTATGTTCTGAACCTGCTGATGGAGACTTAGGAATAAGGTAAGTGGATGAAAAAATAATTATGTTAAAATGGAGTGCCTAAGTGAGCTAATTAACTAGTTGCGACAGAGATTTTACTCTAAACAGGAGCAGGTAAGGTGGTTCTTTTAAGTGTAAAGGATGTGCTAAGTATAGATTAGAAGTAGGAACTTCTGCAGTAAATTTAGCTTGCTTCACTAAATCCAAACATCAAAATCTTCTCATAGGTATTCAGTTTGATAGTTATTGATTCTTATTTTTCTCCATGTTTTAATTCCATATAGAGCCCATAAAGAATTGTATAAGGACAAGTAGAGATCCTCATTTAGTGAACTGACTGAAATTACTGAAGTCATGTCTGCAGGTATCATCTGAAACCTTGGCCACAGGATCCTTCATCTGGAAAGGCATAAGACACTGTTTATAAATCTCCTGGTGTATTTTTCTGATCTCTGATTAAACTAGTATGCACGTGCTTCTGATATAAATATTCACATTATATTAAAATCTGTGGTTTGGAATTCTGGAGTTCAAATTATGAATACGGAACTCAATTGCATAGACAGTGGTGAAACTTATATCAAAAAGGGATGCAAACTTAAGGAAAGAGCACATAATTGCAAATATGAGAACTCATATATACTGACTGTTGTTCCCGAAGAAGAGGCAAAAGTAACTAAAATGAAAAAGAAAGAGGAAATCAATTTACACAACAGCAGTGCTAGAAATGTTGGGACTAGTGGAAAAAAGGATGACTAATCTTGCAAATAAGCTTCACTTTTCTAGATGTGTTGAGCTGGAAAGTAATTGGAATCTATGGAGTATAGATAGCTGAAAAAATTTTACAGTTGCAGTCCTGACCCAACAGAGTGGGAATTTTGCCATAGCTTAATTAGGGCTGACATTTTATATGGTGCTTTATCACTAACAATTCAGAGATCTGATCCACAAGTACTGGCACCACTTGGAGTTTTTCCATTGCTCTCACAGATCTTTGGATCAGACCCATGCTGCAGATGCATCATTCTTCTGTCTGAGGGGTAATTTCATATGTAATTGTCAGAGCTATCAGAAGAGCCTCAGGCAAGGTTGGGAAAGGACATCTACATCTGGGCAGAGATCTTGAGATGTGAGCAGGACAACGATTTTAAAATCTGATCGTAAAATCTGAAAAAACATATTCCTTTATTGCTAACTTGCAACAGCCAGCTTGGCTAGAAGAAGTAAAACTATTTCCTGTCCATGGATCCAGCTGAAGAACTTTTGTATCAGCTGTATCCTCATAATATCTATGAGGCTAAATGTAGAGGGTTCCTACTTTAATATAAGGAGCATATGTAATCCATATGCAAGCACTGTTTTTGTAAGTCACTGAGCTGTAAGAGTCACTGAGCTCAGCTATTTATTTAAACATGTTGAACATGAAGTATCAGCATAATCCCCTTGACCTCTGAGAGGGTTTTCACCCGTTGTGTAGAGCTCAGACTTTCACTGGTATTTGGGCAAGGGAGTTCATTAACTCTCAAGACAGAAGCCATATACTCAATCTGACTAAATGAGGAGTATTACTAGTAAATTTTTGACTTTAAATGTTTGGTTATCCTTTAAAAAAAATAGACCACTTCTCTATGAGTCTGACTGTTGGATTGAGCAATTTGATTCTTTTTAGGACTAGAGAATAAAAGCTGCTACTAGCCAAGAAAAAGTCATATAACAGCTATTACTGCATACTGTCATTGTTGCTCTCCTAGTACACCATGAACACCTGCATTTTTCTGTTGTGACTTCACATAGATAAAAGATGTCAAAAGAATCTGTCTGATTTTATACAATGACGTGACTTCTGGAATTTATTAACACCTTACAATATTTATCATCAAAATATGTTCTTGCTAGTGTAATCTAAATAGGTTAATTGACAAAGATAACATCTAAAAAATTCTTTTAATTGCTGTTGGGGGAAAAAAATTGGTTTAGTTTCTGGTGTCTTCAAATGCTGCCCATCTTTCTGTAATTGTATAACACTATCACTATTCACTATTCTGTCTATTCTTGCATAGAGAATTGAAACATCACTTGAGTTTTCTCTGAGGATGGATTAACAAGATCTGCTGTGACATGACTTGATTAATTAATGAGACTAGAGTATTCTTTGGACCTGGTGTGCTGTTCTTGAACTTCTGAGATGGGAAAATTCTAACCTTCAATATTTTAGAAGCAAACTGGGTAAAGCAAAACTCTTGTATGACCTTCACTAATAATAAAACTGGAAATCCATTATAGAGGGTACCTGAATAGCTGTACATAGTCAAGATGATTTTTTTCATATTTGAAGAATGAAAGTGCACGCAGATAAAGTAGACTACAGAAAAATATTTCATCGACTGCTTAAAATGTAATTAGATGCCTCTTTATTTTTCTTTCAGCAATCTTCTACAAAAAGAAATAGCTCTTGTAAGTGCTGCACTGCAAAAGTCATTTCACTTTGTGTACACACCCCTAAGGAAATATGGAAGGTTCTCAAAGGGCAAATACCAGATGAAAGCTAGCATATCCCATCCATTGACCCTGCTTTAGAAATTTCTTGTCCATGATTGAGTATCAGGCTACATAAGGAAGTGTCAAGAAGCATGTCTGTAAAACACTCTTGAGATACACATTATAACAGTGCTAGGTCTACCTGTCTCACCAAGAGACTGAGATTAGTCTAAGACAATAAAATTCCTTCCATTTTATAGATGACTTAAGGCTATCTTCAAGCATAGCTGGCAGAAATAATAAGGATCTGGGTTTAGAGACCTGACAATGCTGTAAATTGAACTGTTTGTGGAGCATAGTTGGTTTTGTCATCAGGTCAACATTTTAGTGGAGACTCTCAGGGTCTACAGTTTGCATGTCGGTGCTAAGGGTGCCAGATAGTTTTTCACCTTCTGTTTTCTTCTTGCCCCCATCAAAGAAATCCTTTGTGAATCAAAGCTTGTGCACCTTACTATTTGTACTCTTACCAATAAATTGATACCCAATATGTGAGTGTCAATGTTAAAAATTTCCTGTGCAAAGCAGAGTTGAAAATTACTTTTTTTATCTAATAAAACAGGGATCACAATGGTTGTTACTTTTGTATGCAAAGAAAGGCAATAACTCTGCAATGTACATTTCCTCCTTGGATATACTTTGAAAAAAGTTAATAAGGTTAACATCGTGTATGTCAGCTGGTTTTGCCTTCATAGATGCCAGATAGCATTAGCAAAGAGAAGCAGATGTAAGTTCTTTAGCTAATATTATTAGACCTCTTCCCTCCTACATGCCAGCATGAGATTCGCATTAATGAAATTAGACCTGAACACATCCAACAGTCCTAAGTCAGTAGTAGAGATAGGAAATAATTTATTGTAGGTGACAGAGAACAGCTATAGAATACAAACTGTGTCTAGTGAGATGGGAAAAATGAATTACTAGCAACTGATGGACACCAGTGCTACTGATCACAGAAGGATAATGTCACTGGCAGACATAAGTGTATGAGTGCACATTACATAGACCTGTTGAAATGAGTCAGATCCTCCATAATGTCATGGAAAATCTGAAGTTACCTTTGCCCATCTTAATTTTGGAATATGAGAGTCATGTGTTGCTACTACCTGATTTTGATATCCCTGATTAGATAAATAGTCCCACATTAGGGACACAAATGGTCCCACAATAAATGGTGTTTCACATAGGCTGGACAAGTACTGTTAAAGTTATTAAATATTTCTCTTTAAAGCTTACTTTCATTTGAAAAACTCGTAAGCATTTATATGCAGTTTTCCTTTCTCAGTAAGGATTTGGTTGAATTTGGTGTAAATATTCATTACAATGTTTCAAGCTTATAGAAAGAGGCATGACAAGGCAGTAGCATTATAAGAAATGCTTTTCTCATATTTTTGTATTGTTCATTTAAAGAGCAAATCCTGTCCTTTTCTGTAAAATGTTTTAAGGATCAAATGTTCTGAGCTAGAGAAGTGTTATTAAATCAGGCATGACCATGTTGCTACTCCAAGAAAATCTACCAGCTTAAATAAAAAAAAAAATTAGTTTAGATGTGATTAGTGGTATAACTTTTAGCTATAAAGTTTCTCTAAGTTTGCATATGCTTAAATCTTGTATTCAAAAAGATTTCTGTTGAAACACACCTGTGTCTTTTCTGTCCCACTCTAATTTTGAACATTTGCATTGAAATCTCCATCACTTTTAACCTCAGCAGATCTTCCCACTGGACAGAAGGACAAAGCAGACTGAGGTAAGAAAGCTGCAGAAGGGTAAAGGTGGTGATCAGAAACTTGGGGAGGGAGAGACAGAAAAACACAGTAGTAAAAATACATAGAGGGAGAGAAAGCTAGGACTCATTATGGACAGTCTGAAATTATCGGCTAAAGTTGAGATAAAAGTGGAGGCTGGGAAGGAGAGTAAATAATTTCCAAGGTGAAGGGGTAGAGATAAAGAAAGATGATGCAACGAAGAGACAAATAAGTTTTTTTCTTTTCTTAATAGAAGAACATCACTTTTTAGAGTGAGAATAGAAAAACTATGAATCTCACAACTTTCTTGGTCTCAGGCTTGTAAAGTCTGCTGGCAAATAAATATATAAGTTACCTATTTTCTCCTAATGCTCAGACGGGATGAATTGCACTCAGTCTTTAAAAATGCCACATTAAGCCCAGTTTCACATTATCTGTTTCTGTGTAAATATGAGTGTATGGTAACATTATTTGTACTTGCCTCATTTAGAACATGATATATATATACATATATATATATGTATGTATATATATGTGTGTATATATATATATATATAGACACAGTCTGATCACAGGAGAGGAAGTAATGTTAGTCTTGCTTCACAGGACATAAGTCACCAGTTGCTTTAATAGAGTGCCCACTGGTCTTAGAACTGAACCTTGGATTAGGTAAACAGAAGATAAACGCTATACAGTTGCTCACAACTGTAAAAAGTGTAATGTCAGGATTCTTGACAAATAAGCTCGGCTGACATTTTGCTCACCTCAGGAGATGAGCAGTAAAATTTTACTGCACCAGGTTGTCCACCCAAAATGTCTCTCCCTCAGAGAAGAGTCAGCAGAGTAAACATCTGCTCCTGCCTCAGCCATTGTCATTCACAGTGCAGTGATTTTGAATAAATTGCTGAGAAAGGTGGGCATTGTCATTAATGTGTCTGGGCTGCTGAGATACTAGCAGACACTCAGTTCTGCTGAGTCTGTTTTGGGGATGGAAACCTACAGTAGGACAGGAAGGAAGGCAGAAGGCATAATGTTTTAGTCAGTGACTACAGTCCAGCAAGCCTTGCATTTTACCTGTTGTTAGAGGAAATCTCTATGCCACAGCAGACAGCTGTTCAGGACTTCCTTAAAGGGACCCCACCTTGC